TACTGAAGGGTTGGTGCTTTCAGGGAAACATAGTATCGACCTGGTGAAGATATACTTGAGGGAGAGGTAAAATAGAGGTAGTAATGCTGATCTTAAGGTAAAGCTTTTCAGGCTTTTCAGGTGTGAAAAGCACAGTAAGCCAAAGGTTTGTTGTTACAGGTGTTGCAGCCAGGGTTCCTTCCCATTCCTTGAAAAGGTCCCAAAACCATTGGCCTGGCTTAGTCTGGCACTCTTTCAGCAGAAACCTGTTCAGATCAGGGAACTTATTTTTCCCTTCTTAAATGCAGGTGACTTAAGCGATCGTGAAATTCTTCGCATGGACAACCTAAGAACCTGAAACCCTCTGTTCTGGATCTCTAGTCCCCGGAGCACTTTTGGCTCCTCCGCTATAGATTGTCGGGTCTGTTGAATCAGAGCGCACTGCTAAAAATACAATTGATTTTCAATACCTGCACACTTCAGCTCACCAGCTCTCCACTGGGAAGGTCTATGGCATTAAGATATGGGTCAAGCAGCCGCTTATCCACTTATTTTGGCCTATAAAAGTTCTCACTTCCCCCGGGATCAGTACGTTTGCAACAACAGATGCAAAAATTGAGTTCAGAATATTATAGCAACAAAGTCTTCCCAAATCACCCAGCCAGTTAAAGCCAACGCCTCTCCGCGTCTCACTTCATTCACACACATATACCCCCAACTCTCTCCTATTTACGAAAGCCTGGAAAAAGAGATATGCTTCACAGCAAGCCTCAAAATAAACAAAGTCATTCTGCATATGGTCCAGGAGGAGAAAGGAGGTATGTTTTCCACTTATGTGACTGCTAGCTTACATGCCACCTCTTATCTGAGAGGCAGGCTGCTGGTCCACACTGAGATAGGAAAATCAAGACCCAACAGTGTTATTACATAAAGAGCTCACGCACATGCCTGCTAAATTGCACCTACCCGAAGGTAAAAGCAAGCCACTCGCCTGCTAACACGGAGCATGTTTTATTTAATGAGTTGTGAACTGTGTGAAGACCACAAGGTCTCTCATGAGAAGATTGGGGCTGTTTCTCTCTGCCCCAGCCATTTTATGGGTGGCTCAGTATCGGACGGATTGGGCTGGGTGACATCTTCTTCATTTCCTACCTCCCCCCTTCCTCCCCGTACAGATCACAAGACGACAGGACAAATGTTTTTCCCATGTTAAATCTTTATTCATTTTCTCAAGACAAACAGCAGAGAATTACTATAATCAGACTAATGTGGTGCTCATCAAACTGTGGTCCCCCTAACAGTTTAAAACTATATAAATGAGTAGGAGAGACAATCACACTGAACTGCACGACCAAGAGTAAGCTGATCTCTGTGTGCAGTAAAACAGGCTTCTGTATTTTTATGACTATAAAGTGTATGGCCAGTATTAAAGTTGCCTGGTATTTATTATAAGAGCTTGAATATATCTTTTTTCAGACGCTTATTCCTTTGCCATATTCTTCATTTTTGTGCCAAAATTTTCTGTGTAAGATATGACACCTCAAAATTGTCAGAAAACTCTGGCCAAAGCTTCTCTGTCATTTCCAACAGCAACAGTGTTTCGTGAATGTTAACTTCTGGCAAAAGTTTCTTAGGGAAGCTTTGATATTTCTATGTTTTACCAAGTTATTTCCTGGATTTTAAGTCAAAGCAATAACCAGTCTGCGCTGCCCTCCACGCTGCTCTGGATGGCCCAGCTGGCCCCAGGACCTCTACACAGCAGTTCCTTTAGAGAGTGTAGAAATATTTTATACCTGTAATAGCTGCCCTGGGCCAGCATCCAAAGAAAGAAGAGGGGCGTGTCCTCCCCATACTCTTGCTGACCTCTCCCCTTATTCCTAATATAGCGTGGGGAACTACGCTCTCTGAATCAAGTGCAGAGATGGACCTGGAGGGCAGAAAGATCTTAACGTGATGGGAATAGATGGGTTCTTACAGCTGGCAGAGGGGACAGACGGGAGTTTGAAATTTCTAGAGAGAGAGAGAAAGAGGCAAAAGGGGATGGCAGTAGATGAAGACTTGGGGAGTCAGACACAGAGCAAAATGGTAGCAAGAATCAGAAAGAAGAGAAGGGAGAGGGACAGAAGATTAAGGGGTGAGAGGCGAAACAAACCCAGCTGATGGGTGGAGGAGGGAAATTGGGTCTGCCTGGGTAAGCAGGCATGGCAGCTTGGAAAAACACATCTATACTTGCTCAACAAGAATATTCGTATTGAGATGAGAAGCTGAGGCATGGATATTGCGATGAGCTAAATGAGGAATACAGAAGCAGCACAAGGGAAAAGGACGAAGTGCTGGGGGGGGCACCTGTAAACGCCACCCTCTGTGTCCACTGGATCTCAGACCTGGCGAGCAACGCTCGCTGTAGCCATGGCTCACTCTGCCTCTGCTGTCAGTGGCATCCAGGAAACCCACCAGCTAATTTTTCCATCCCCGATGGTAGACCATGCAACAGAGCAATGCGATGAACTGTTGGCTCTTGTGATTAATCGTGGCTCTAATACGTGTGGAAGAATTTGCTTCAGTGGATTTAG